AAGAAACCTTCGTATTAGGTAAGAACCCTTCGAATTAGGCAAGAACCCTTTGAATTAGGTAAGAACCCTTTGAATTAGGTAAGAACCCTTTGAATTAGGCAAGAACCCTTTGAATTAGGCAAGAACCTTTTGAATTAGGCAAGAACCCTTCGAATTAGGCAAGAACCCTTTGAATTAGGCAAGAACCCTTTGAATTAGGCAAGAACCCTTTGAATTAGGTAAGAACCCTTCGAATTAGGTAAGAACCCTTTGAATTAGGTAAGAACCCTTCGAATTAGGCAAGAACCCTTCGAATTAGGCAAGAACCCTTTCAATTAGGCAAGAACCCTTTGAATTAGGCAAGAACCCTTTGAATTAGGCAAGAAACCTTCGTATTAGGTAAGAACCCTTCGAATTAGGCAAGAACCCTTCGAATTAGGTAAGAACCCTTTGAATTAGGCAAGAACCCTTTGAATTAGGCAAGAACCCTTCAAATTAGGTAAGAACCCTTTGTATTTGGTAAGAACCCTTCATATATGGTAAGAACCTTCGTATTAGATATGAACCCTTCGTAGTTGGTAAGAACCTTTCGTATTAGGTATGAACCCTTCGTAGTTGGTAAGAACCCTTCGTATTATGTATGAACCCTTAGTAGTTGGTATGAATTTTCGATAGTTGATAAAAACTCAGGGTGGTGGTGAGAACGCTGGGTTGCTAATAAGAACTATTTGTAGTAGACAAGAACTCTATGTAATTGGTAAGAATTCAGAGTAGGTTGTAGTTGGTAAATAATGACTCTGGATCGTTAGCAAAAACGTTTTGTAGTAGCTAAGGACTTTGGGAAAGTGGGTGAGAATAGGTAGAGGTAGTGGAATAATATTTACTGAATATTTGTTATTTCAATTTCAGGTGTGATTACTAGATATGAGCCTTGAAATCACGACTTATGTCACTGCCTTGAAATCATGACTTATGTCACTGCCTTGAAATCACGACTTGTATCACTGCCTTGAAATCACAACTTATGACGTCACTGCCCCGAAATCATGACTTATCATGCCTCTCGTAAAACCATAATTGATTGTATCCATATATTCGATAATGCACGCTACTACATTATCTATAACATTAGCTTTTGTAATATATATTATTATGTTTTTAGACCAAAGTATGAATTAAAGCTAGGTCAATCTATAGTACTGTATAACTAATTGGAAATAAATGCAACTGTCATATATTAAATTTTGTGGTGGATTTTTTTTTCATAAATTAGGACAATAAATATCAAAATGTGAAGCTTGAGGCTAGATAAGCTCACCAGTAAGCAATAAGCTATCAAGCTAGTAACGAGAAATAGACACAGGTATATCATTTGTTTTCAAACATACGGTACATTACTGGACAGTGTAATCTCAAATGGGATAGATTCAAGGCATGGTTCAGTTGGAGCCTATACATCTCTTGCAGAGATTAATTGCATTGTAACACCAGATATGTAGGTCACTTGGGTGAAATATCAGAATTGTTAATTTACTAACAGCATCATCAATTATATGCGAGACTTGCACTTATTACTGCCGATGATTCCTTTGATACCTTCCAATCACATAAAAATATCCTATTGAAGTTTGATAACGTCTCAGTTTGTACTCTGTGCAACAGTCAAAGTTGCCATCTTTGTTTATATGAGACCCATGACGACTACTGCCCTTTTAACTAAAACTTTAATTATTCATAAATGTAGATGTATAAATCAAGGAAATCTATATAGACTACATTCTCTCAGCACAACCAACAACTTCGCTATAGACATCAATAAACTTCATGCGCGAATCTGTAATTCCAGTTAGTAATTCTCTATCCTAAGACTGGCTTCTCTAATCCATGCCCAGTTTATTGCAAAGTATCCGTGATATGTGTCACACTCGGCTGGGGTAGATCATTGACACACAAGAAACTGTTCGTATTCCGGTGATGTTTTTCTATAATAGGTACCAGTCAGTCAAAAACAGATACTCTGCAATATGTACACATAGCGACCGACCACCAAAGGCATGAATGTTTTATAATTTTTGATAGGATCAGAGTAATTCAGGGGGGGGGCTAAATCTGTCTATATTCAGTGTTTTCTTACCAACTACCAAAGTTTATTGACCTGTGGGGATATTTTTGAACCGCACACTGTTCAGGCTGATCAAAACAAGGAATGATGTGACAATCTTGCACACTATTCAAAGTATTAACATTTGAATGGATCCAGCGCAGAAAGACCACACACAATGTATGTACCCATATGTTCCTATATCAGTACAAAACCATGTTTAATGTATGTACCAAAATGGAAACAGATGTATAAGGTCCATAACAACAGAAATGCTTGATTTTGATGCAACCATTCCGCCATTTAGAATTGGATTATCGAACAAATTTATTTGCACATGTATAACATCATGAACAATGTACATTGCATATATTATTAATTTGAACGTGATTGGTCAAAGCATGTCAAAAATATGGTTTTGGAACAACATTCATTCTAATAAAATGGCCATTTAAGATATTGTCTATCTAAAATCTGATCTGCAAAACACAATGCTGTGCCATAATTTCCAATGTATGAAACAAATTTGCACAAAATCCATTCATATAGGACCAATATTTGGTTTAAAATAGCAAAAATGCTCAAGTTGGATGAATTTTTAAACTTGAAATTATTGTCATTTAGCCATCTTGAATCAGATCATTAAACGAATGGATGGATGTACATATGTATCCAAATTAAGATAAATAATATGTGTGTACAGTGTGAATGTGATTGGCTGAGGCATGTCCAAGATACAGGTCAGGACTCACTGTTGTTTATTTTCACACATCAAAATGACTGACAGACACAATGACTAAGTTACCCCAAGTCCCTTTCCACTATGGCTGGGCACTATGACAGGAGTAATGTAGATATTGACTGGAACTGGTATGATATGGGGGTAATGACTGATGTACCAAGATGTCATATCACAAACATATCTCAATACTAATAGGAAAAACAAGATTCTGATTAAAAAGGGTGTACGCTTTTATTTTCTTTTTCTCCAGACCATTCCAGGTTTCCTCTCTTTCTTCAAAAGATGTTTTGCAGACCTTCCCACCTTTAATCTGTCATCTTTGTGTTGCCTAGCAGCAGCATCCTTTGCAGATTCTCGTTCATTCTAAAAATATTTTGTAAAACAAATTAGGAGAGAAAAAAAAAATGGAACTATTAATCATGTCATTGTTTTTGAACTATTTTTTGTACTGCTACTTCGGTATCCCAACATGTTTTGCTGTACTGTTATATAAGATATCTCAGCAATATAAACATAAGTGTGAGTGTATACCTTTCTCAGTGTAAATGTCATTTCTTTACTTCCTGCAAACTTCCCTGTATTATCCTTAAAGCTGTCTTTGTTTATTCTTTCACCAAAACTTTTTCTGCAATAAAAATCACCAATATCTGTTACCATGGATACATTTAATATTTGAATCATTAGCTTACATAGGACGTCCACTCAAGCCTCAATTATCTGATGAAGAACAAGCCATGCATGGCACAGTCCCCGTTAGTTATCAAATTTAAGATATATAGTTATATTTATGGTAATATAGCTGGAATATAACCATGTCAGGAATATGATTTTTTAACATTAAAATGATTGACATTTGTATCTGATCGTCAAACAAGTACTTGTCCATATTGAGAGATATTGCTCTGGAACAGAATTCAAAATCAGCCATTTTGAATACAAACGAATATATAAAATTTGAATATATAATCAGTCAAAGCACTTAAGAGATACATGTATGGCTCTAGAAGCCCAATCATTAAAACAAAATGGCAACCAGTCAGCCATTTTGAATCCAATCTGAAAAATAAAATGACATGCATCAGGAACCCGTAATGTCTAATGTATGTACCAAGTTTGAACAAAATCCATCCATAAATGCCAGAAAAGTTTGATATTTGATGATTTTTTAGCACAAAAATGGCCACCATTTGGCCATTTTGAATAGGATTGTCAAACCAATATATCTGTCTATCTATGACATGATGTATGATGAATGTTTAAAATTTGAACATAATCAGTCAAAACAAGTCGGAGATATGGGTCTAGAAGCCCATTCATTAAAACAAAATGGCCGCCAGACAGCCATTTTGAATCCGATCTGAAAAATAAATGATATGCATCAGGAACCAGTAATGTCTAATATATGTACCAAGTTTGAACAAAATCCATCCATAAATGCCAGAAATGCTTGATATTTGATGATTTTTTAGCACAAAAATGGCCACCATTTGGCCATTTTGAATAGGATTGTCAAATCAATATATCTGTCTATCTATGACATGATGTATGATGAATGTTTAAAATTTGAACATAATCAGTCAAAACAAGTCGGAGATATGGGTCTAGAAGCCCATTCATTAAAACAAAATGGCCGCCAGTCGGCCATTTTGAATCTTATCTGAAAACAAAATTATTTGCATCAAGGTCCTATAATGTCTAATGTATATACCAAGTTTGAACAAAATCCATCTGTAAACAGTCGAGAAATGCTTGATTTTTAGGATTATTTAGCACAAAAATGGCCGCTATTCGGCCATCTTGAATCAGATCGTGAAACAAATTGACGTGCATATGTATAATATCATGTATGATGTATGTGTGAAGTTTGATTGTGATTGTTCCAGGCATTTCTAAGATACAGGTCCGGACGCACGCACAGACGCACGCACGGACACACAGAGGTCAAAACATAAGTCCCCGTTTTCGGACTGCGTCCGAACGGGGACTAACAAGTTGCAAATGAGAAATATTTTGAGACAAATTTTTGTAGCATATTTACAACATATTTGTCCTGGACATTTTGTTTCAAAATTTCAAAAAAATATTATGAAAATTAGGTAATTATTATGCATGCATTTGAACCAAAACATAATCAAGCTGAAAAACTTTCCCAAAACACCCATGGGGATATTTACAACGCGTTTGAGAGAAACAAATACCAATAAGTGTCTTGATGGTCAAAATAGCTTAACCGTTTATATACAGCGTATTCCTCAAAACTAAGTTGAAAATGCTCTATAAGATATTACCGTAAAATCTGTATTAGAAGCCGCATCCCCAATAGAAGCCGCACCCATTCTTTTTGAACAATTGAGAACCAAACCTTCACAATTTCTCATATGTGTAGATGCTCCAATACAAGCCGCATCCCTTCTGTTGCATTGTACCATTTTAATAGAAGCCGCAGCTTTAACAGATTTTACAGTAGCTATTTGCCATGTAATACACCAATTACAATCCTACTTTGCAAAGTTCCCCAAACTGGTTACACAATGAACTTGTTACTCCATGTATGTAGTCTAATTTTGTCATTACTAGTTCAATGATACAGTCATTCAATGTCATCTCGAAAACATATAATAGTCTAAGAATTTCTGATTGATCTGATCTAGTAGTCCAAGAAATAGATCTAGTTATATAATGAGGATTGTCATTTTTTGTGATTATTTCACTATCTTCAAGCCTTTTTTTAAATACCGGGGTATTAATTTTTTTATTATTTTAGAATAAAAAATAAAACATGTAAGCTAGTTTACCATATGCAGAAGCAGTAAAAACTAGTTTTGTATGTATTATTAAAAATAATAATATTGATCTTTACTTTACTTCTATTTTTTAAGGATTTAGGATATTTCTATGATCCTGCATGAAGATCAGACTTACGTGATATGTTTTCGTTTCTTAGTGAGTTCTTTGATAGCCTTGAAATCTTCCCCAGATTTTAACTCATAAAATTTAGGTTTTGACTCTGTCAATCCTTGCATGGTATCTACTTTCCTTTTCATTCTTTCTTCTTGTTTTACAAGATGATGCTGTCGCTTCATCTCTTCTCTCCATTCCCGCTCTTCCTCTTCATCTGAGCTGCTCTCTTCATCACTAGGTCGTCCCTCTTCCTCCTTAAGTACAAACAAAGATGTATCAAGTAGATGTATTAGTATACCTGGCATATCTTTATAATGTGCAGTCTATGTGCTTTATCCTGGCAAGTCATTAAATTAATTAATCAAAACTATACCTGGGAATTATATCTATATAGAAACTGAGTATTAGCTCACTTGGATATTCTCATTAAAAACTATGAAAGGTGTCAACTTTTGTGACGACATGCCTAGTTGTGCATCCAAATGAACCGACACAACTGATTGGATAGTACTTATGAGCAGATGCATGCAGCATGTGATCTGATGAAACTGCAACTCTGTATGGAGGCCACTGATTGGTGGATTGAAACAACATCATGTGTACATGTTTTGGAGAAGGGGACTCATCAATATATAAACTAGATTGTGACGTTAAGAGTTTCCACAACCATGCTAAATGCATTACCACCAGTCTATATCTGAGAAAGTGAATCCTGACACCAAATTGTTGAAAAGCCTTGAAGAACACTCGATAATGTAACCAGTTGAGCGAGGCTAACAGAGTCATAAACTCAGTATGGTTCGTAACCAGTCTTATGATTGGTTGTTGACACATTCTGAATAGGCCACGCCTCAAACAGTGTCATGCGTTCGGGCCAACCGTTAATTATTCATGAATGGAGTCAATTTGTGTAGTTTTCTTGATTTATTCTGCAGATATCGATAAAATATAGGTAAGGCTTTGGCAAAATTTGAAAGAGCAACTAATATTCTTCAACCAGGTATTTTTTCTAGATTTTATTAATCATTCTGTTTGTCTGTTTTTCCAGTTTAAAAAAAAGCTCGCTGGAGCCTTCATCCCTTGTCTATTTCTTAGACGATACACCCCACCCCCACCCACCCCCCGCGTACAGTTGATTATAGTTCCTGGGCTCCCTGTGATGAAATAATCAAATATGGAACATATGTAATAAGTATTATTATTTACTGTTCACTAAGGTCACATAATCAAAATGTGCTATGAATACATATGTAATACAAGATGAGATGATCTTATTAAAAACAATAACACTTGCAACTAACCTCAATTTCATCAAACTTCTCATCTAGCATGGCTTGATGTTTCTTCTCTTTCTGTTTTTCCATCCTAGCAACCATAGGATTTAACATTCTGAACTCTTCACTATCTAAGTCTACTTGGAAGTCAGGATTTTTAAACATAACAGCAAAACGGTCATCTTTCAAAAGGCTAGGTAACACTTTCTGAAAAACAATATATGTATTTGTCATCTATACACATGAAGTTGTCATGGCAGTCATGTGGTAGCCATGGCATTCACATGCAGTAGTCATGGAAATCACATGTCAGTAGTACAAAGTTCATGAAAAACAAATAATTGTCAATGTCGTATCATTGTCTAATTTTTATACGACTGCCATGTCTTTTATAAATAATGAAAGATGTATAGTATATACATATAGATGTGTTGCGTATGAAGATTCTGTCATATTACTGTCACTCTTGATGACACAGTCCTGGTCACAATTAGGAGAAATGTTGTTCATGTCAAAGATAAAAGCAATATGGCTGCAAGTTTGTCATCTTTTGTCTGTTAACAAAATGTCATTGACATAACAGGCAAAATGTACTGTCAACTTGTGATTTCATGAATTTACGGCATTTTGAAGACGCAATTTTCCAAGAGTCACTGTCATATGATCGTAACAAATTGTATGTAAGAATTAAATGTATTATGTGGTCAAATTGCATATGCAAATTGGTGGTCATGTGACCAGGTAGATTGTTTATGAGAGAAATTGTAGTATGATTTATAAGTGAATAATAGACTTGACTAGTACTCACAAATATACATTTATTAAAGATTAATTAAATGACTTGAAATGCAAATATCCCACTGACCTTTTTCTTTTTTTTATCTATGTTGTCTTCTTTTTCTATGATTTTTTGTGCCAATTCTTTATTAACTGCAGGCAATTTCTGTATAACAAGTGAATTTGATGAATATAAAACATATGGCTTATAAGTCAATATTCTCCAGTAAACCTGCCATTTCACTCATTTCACTTAATGACCTCCAGTAAACCTGCCATTTCACTCAATGACCTGCAGTAATCCTGACATACACTCATTTCACTCAATGACCTGCAGTAAACTTGCCATACACTCATTTCACTCAAAGACCTGCAGTAAACTTGCCATACACTCATTTCACTCAATGACCTCCAGTAAACCTATCATACGCTCAATGACCTGCAGTAATCCTGACATACACTCATTTCACTCAATGATCTCCAGTAAACAAGTCATACGCTCAATGAACTGCAGTAATCCTGACATACACTCATCTCACTCAATGACCTGCAGTAAACCTGCCATACACTCATTTCACTCAACGACCTGCAGTAATCCTGACATACACTCATTTCACTCAATGACCTGCAGTAATCCTGACATACACTCATTTCACTCAATGACATCTAGTATATATGCTCAATGACCTACAGTAAACCTGCCATACACTCATTTCACTCAATGACTTGCAGTAAACCTGCCATACACTCATTTCACTCAATGACCTGCAGTAATCCTGACATACACTCATTATCTCACTCAATGACCTCTAGTAAATCTGCCATGGACTCATTACTTCATTCAATGACCTACAGTTATCCTGCCATACACTAATTATTTCAATCAATGACCTCCAGCAAACAGGTGTAACACTCATTACTTAACTTAATAACTCCAGTAAATCTGCCATACACTCATTAGTTTATTCAATGACCTGCAGTAATCCTGACATACACTCATTATCTCACTCAATGACCTCCAGACGTAACACTCAATAATCCACTCAATAACTCCAGTAAATCTGCCATATGCTCATTACTTTACTCAATGACTCAACTTTACTCAAGTTAACCTGCCATACATTCATTATTTCACTCAATGACCTGCACTAAACAGGCATAGCACTATTTCACTTGATTACCTACAGTGAACTTGTCTGTTACTCGTTATATCATCCAATGACACTATTATAAATACATACATCAACTTTCACTCTGTTTGTCCGTGTAGCTTCAATCTTTTCCCGTATTTTCTTCTTTTTATAATCCTCATATGCAAAAGGCTCAGCAATTGATTTAGCTTTGTGATACAGTCGGATGTCCATGAAGAAACCATGCATATAGGCACGTAGTAAATTTGTACCAAGTAAGTGTTTTAACCCTGTAAACAATCAAACATAGTAACAGTAAATGATACTGTATGACATTGGCTGTGATTTCTTGTACTTAATGAGCTGCAGCATTCACAAGGTATCTCAACAGCAAATAGTAAAAGTAAAAATATTGAACACAGTTTACATAATTTATAACTTCTATTTACATATATGAAGAAGGTATCTTTTTTGGACAGCCTATTTCTTTGACAAGATTTAGTCCTGATGGTAAAAACAGATCTGGCGGTGTACGACTCAGAGATAAACCAGAGAATATTCATGCAAATAGCAAGGTATATGCATATCGCAGTGCATTATGGGAATTCCTTTACTCACCAAGATTTTCTAAATCTTTTTTTGTTACAAACTTATAATCATCATATACAACAGGATTTGGATCTTCTTCAAGTTCTTCTGTTAAGTTGTCTAAAAATGAACACCATCTTGCTGCAGGACCAAGACTCTAGAAAATAAATATTTTCATTTTGTTTAACTTTTTTTTAATGTTTCATAAATTTGTAAATCAACTTGACCATTCACAATGCCTTAGCTGATGCTTCTACATAGGGAATATAGAATTTTTTCGTGTATATTGTAAATTTTTTACACAAAATTTATGAAGATTTATAGGTAGCGGCTGTTACCAAATGGCTTCCATATAGACATCAAACTATTTTATGTTTATGCATGCCTGTGCACATTGACTGGTCGGCAAGAATCGGTTATTTGCATCCAATGAAAAAAGTAAGGACACTGTTAGCTGCCTCTGTTATTAATTATTCATGCAAGTATGTGTTCAAAACAACTTATTGTCAATGTTATCGCAGCAAATTGCAAGCCTATGTAAATCAGTGAGAGTGTCATTTATTGTTAAATGCTGGTTGGTAAAATAGTAAACATGACAATGTGACAGCCTATAACCAATGAATAATACCGTAGGCTTAGTATGCTGGAAATTTGTAAGCTCAATAATAGGGTCTGGTTGGTTCAGCAAAGGATAGTTTCTTGGTGTGTTTGGACATCAGCAGATATAGGCATTGTACTTCAAATGCTGTTATGAAATTATGAAAAGTGGTTGATTCTGTTATAAATTTTATTCATTGTTCTTGTATAGTAGTCTTCACAATAGTCATAATTCTTGACTGTTTCAGAAGTTATTATCTTGTCTAAAAATTTGAATTAAAACATTCAAATCCATGTGCTAAATATTTTGACTTTGATTCAACAAATATTACATACTGTTTTAAAAATAGATTGACTCGAATTGGTGAAATACAGGACAAGTCATGCTCATTGGTGTACAGCATTGGTAATTTATAGACACTACACAAAAAATTTTAAAATTACCAAAAGTACGATTTTTGACAGATCAACTTCAAACACTAGACAGGTCATCTATGCTTACAGATTAACCATAAATATAAGTTTGATGCTGATCAGCTGAATATTATTGGAGATATTGAATCCACAAGAAAAGATTATGACAATAACTTTACTTTGAGAAAGCCAATGTGAAAAACTTACCGGAATAAAATAACTTTGCATTTTTGGAGATTCAGTTGCTAAGAATAACAATCCAGTATCAGGTAAAACACATAAATCATTGATACTGCAGAGTGGTTCAATTGAAGTGTAAGCTTTGCCCTGCAAGTAAAATCACACAATATTAATTGTTTCAAACAAAGAACAAATTTTATAAATTCTTCAACGTTTACAACTCAAGCAAAAAAATGTCATCAAATCACCAAAATAATTTTGTCGTTGCAGACATATTCAACTATTTGTTTCTAACTATGTTTATGATAAAATGTACAAGTAGGATCTGACTTCTTGTGTGTAAGATTTCCTTAGAAGCAACCTCCATTTCCAGCCCTCTATGTTATTCACACAGATTGCAATGATCATAGATTTATTCAAATTTTTTTATCACAATGTCTGCTGTAATAACTGACAGGCAAGTTTACTAGTTTACATGTATAGTGCAAGGAAGAAACAAAACACACATCATTGACAAGTAAAATAAGTTTTCATTGACCTTCCTTGCTGTCATATGTAGTGTTACTTACAGTGTCTCTATCCCAAAGTTTCACAATTTTACTGTCAGCAGAAATGACTAAATTATGTGAATTGTGAAATTCAATGGATTTGATTGGTAAACCATATTGGTGGTCCTTCACTAAAAGTGGCTTGTCTGATCGGATATCATACAATAAAATCTAAAGGAAAAAAAATAAGATAATCATTTTGTGAAAAGAAAAAATAATTTGTTTTTTAAACTCTAGTTCATTTTTTGAAACTTCAATCAGTGACTGTGCACTAAATTAATAAATGGAATATCAGCCAGAAAGGAATGATAGAATGTTTTCAATTAATTTCTATACAAACTGGAGCGGAATAATTATGTATAACATCTATAAACACATAACTCAGAGTTATTCATTAAAGTGGAACAAATCACATACCTATGGCTCATATGGTTTCTACATCTTAAAATTGAAAGTAGATCATTTCATTTTGGAAGTATTGAAGGGTCTTATCCCCAGACAAACATATCTACAATGTAAGTGATCTTAAAAATAATAAATTCCCCAAGCTTAGTGTCTATTGTCTTACTTAATTTAGGAGCAATGCTTAAACTCATATTCTGCAGTTTATTTCTTTTTACCATCCATAATTTTAACATTTGATATCATAATCAGGGTTTTTCTAGAAAAAACTTTTAAGAAGGAGAGCCCCTTTGTTACTATTGGTAACATTCGGTAAGATGCAACAATCAATAAACCTACCTGCCCTGTAGTCGTGCCAACAGCCATATTCAAACTACCCCTGAATTTTAATGCTGAGATAGAAGGCATTCCATCCACACTATAAGTAAAAAAAAAGATGATTGAATTAAAACATTATTAATACAATTTAACAAGACCCATCACAGTCTAGTGATAATCATTGAATTCTTACTGTGTATGATCTGTCACACTGCTCAATGCACAGTCTAGTATCCCAACTCTGTTCCTCATTCGGGGATCCCAACATTCCACTCGACCTTCTAGTGTTCCAGTGACAAATAAATTATGAACCGGATTAATTTCACAAACATTTAATGACCTGGAAAATATTTAGGATCATAGTAAATAGTGATTCATTCATAGTGCATTCTGGGAATGATGACACTCATATCTATATATTGCACTGCACTGATGCAATATCTAAATATTGCACTGCATGGATGGATGCAATATCTAAATATTGCACTGCATGGATGAAATATCTAAATATTGCACTGCATGGATGAAATATCTAAATATTGCACTGCATGGATGAAATATCTAAATATTGCACTGCATGGATGAAATATCTAAATATTGCACTGCATGGATGCAATATCTAAATATTGCACTGCATGAATGCAATATCTAAATATTGCACTGCATGGATGCAATATCTAAATATTGCACTGTATGGATGCAATAAATAAATAAATATTGCACTGCATGGATGAAATATCTAAATATTGCACTGCATGGATGCACTATCTAAATATTGCACTGCATGGATGCACTATCTAAATATTGCACTGCATGGATGCACTATCTAAATATTGCACTGCATGGATGCAATATCTAAATATTGCACTGCATGGATGGATGAAATATCTAAATATTGCACTGCATGGATGCAATATCTAAATATTGCACTGCATGGATGCAATATTCAAGTCTGCAATTGTAAATATTGTTTGAATTTGTATACAAGTCTATAAATGTACTTACCCTGAATCAGTTACCAGTGAATTAAGGAATCTACCTTGTTCCAAATTGAATCTATATACTTCTGCACTGTAAGAGACACAAAATTCACAATTTCTAAGTAAGTAAGTGTAGTTTAGGCTTGCCACAGTGAATCCTCTGAACCTACATCAGTCCTTGTTATTCTGAATGTGTGTGTTATCTATGCTGTTATTGATCTTATTTTGGTGACAGTGCTTTCAAAAATCTAAAGTGACATGCAATTATTCTCTCAGGTTGTAACAGTAATGGGAAGTGGCTCACACAGCTTCTTGGAATGTCATACATTTTTGTATGTTCATTTGTGTTACTAAGTACATGTATGTTGAAATTCCATGTACAATTAATAGTAGTACAGTACAATAGCTTATGCAAATTAGTGGTGTTTTTATGATCAAAATAGTAATTTTTATGATTTAGTTTACAATAAATGTTATTTTCAGCTATATGGGCTTCTACTGAAAATGTGCTATTAATAGAGCAAATACAGTATTATGTTTTGCTGTCAAGAAACAATAAAAAAAGAAAATTCTGTTGCAAAATTTAGAGAATTAAAGAAGTAGTTATTCTATCAAATTAATTAAAATATAACAGTAAAACAAAAAGAAAGTTACCTTGCCCCAACAAAGTACAAATCACATGAAGGCTCATGATAGGCTAAATCCCTGCCAAATTTAGGTATTCGCAGTCGATAGTATCTTCCATATTTGGCATGAAATTCTACATATCTATCTTGCTGAAGAAAAACAACCTGAAAGAAAAGATGACAATAATATGAGCTGCACTACATAAGACAGTCACCTTGTGCCATGCTTACACAGTGGTCACACAGAGCCATGTAACACACCAGTTATACTAGGCCATGATTTGTGTATATGTACAATTGTGTGACAGGAATATGATATAAATATATAAAGTTTGAACAACATTGGTCAGAAATATTTCACAAATGGTAAAATAGAGACAAAGATAGACAAAGATATTTATTGAAAACATTTATCATAACTAAGCAGCATTTTAACAAATGAATTTAATCCCTACCTTACTGTAGTCTTCTGATAAGATATGGAACTTTACAACTGCAGGATAAAATATATGGCAACACAATTACACACAAGTTGACTGAGCCATGTCAAGATATCTTAACATGTACATCAGTGAAAGCATGTAGCAGATACATTCTAATAAGATATCTTAACGTGTACATCAGTGAAAGCATGTAGCAGATACATGTACATTCTAATAAGATATCTTAACATGTACATCAGTGCAAGCATGTAGCAGATACATTCTAATAAGATGTCTTAACATGTACATCAGTGAAAGCATGTAGAAGATACATTCTAATAAGATGCCTTAACATGTACATCAGTGAAAGCATGTAGCAGATACATTCTAATAAGATATCTTAACATGTACATCAGTGAAAGCATGTAGCAGATACATTCAAATAAGATGTCTTAACATGTACATCAGTGCAAGCATGTAGCAAATACATTCTAATAAGATGTCTTAACATGTACATCAGTGAAAGCATGTAGCAGGTACATTCTAATAAGATATCTTAACATGTACATCAGTGCAAGCATGTAGCAGATACATTCAAATAAGATATCTTAACATGTACATCAGTGCAAGCATGTAGCAGGTACATTCTAAACATCACTCAACATAAGTGAGATTCACATGATTTTGTTGCATCTTTACAACTAAAACTCAGTGTTCTTGAAACAAACTGTGATACATGTAGAAATTGATGTGCATGTGACCCATACCGGTAGTATGTGTCTATGGCAACCACAGCATATTTCATGGCAACCACACAATGTTTTTTTTAAACCTACCAGCTACATGTAGATAAAGAGTTATGCATTTTTTTAGCATATTGGAGGCAAAGATAGAATACAATACAATGCATGACATACTTATCAGTTTGTTAAGTTTATTAATATTAACGAGGTGACAGATGTATGGACAAAATGGCAACTGGAATCAAACCCAGAAGTCTCTATTTTTTGCACTAAGTTCAGACAGGGAAAAATTAGCAACATTTACTTTACCTTCGGAATCAAAACATCTTTCAAACTTCATTGAAAGCTGGTTGACATCAAAACATCGAACTCTGGGTTTGTATATTCCTGTATACAATAAAATTTGCATAAGTCATACGGGAAATCTATAATTCTGAACATTGAAACTGTCTAACATTTATACAAGATACAGCACAGCTGTCTTTAGGCATCAGCTTCACATAACAAAAGACAGGCTTCACTACAATGTAGCACTTAATGTAGTCACTTTAATAAGCATTGCTACACCAGTTTCAATTTACACTTGTTTTGTAATCAAAATGTAAGTTTTAATGGTTTGCAGATACATTATGTATTTTAAAACTAGATATAAAGTTAATTTTGAAATAATGCAACACATTGTATCAATGGGGAACAAATTGAATTATGACCCTTGATATGTGATTCTGATACTTGTACTAAATTCTGTTTAGAATTAAATATATTATTGTGACATTATGTGGAGAGCATAGTAAACAGATTAATGAGAGATTAATCACATACATGTACTAGTTAGAAAAAAACTGGAAGCTGATGCAAACCTGGTGCACCCCCCTCAAAAAAGTATGCAAATGACAATTTTAGTTCAACATGTGCCAGATTGAAGAAAATATTACGTCATTTTTGGGAAAATAATATTAATAATAATAGTGTTAAAATAATATTAAACAATTTTACAATGAAAAAACCCAGACATGATCACAAAAAATATGCACATTTTATTACAATATCAAATATGAGGTTAATATTAATTATTAGTCCATTGGAACATAGATGAAATCAAAATCTTCTTCATTATCAAATGTGTTTAACTGTAAACAAACTCTTGATGCAAAGCATTTTCTGCCATAAAAACTCTCCAACAATTTGACCTGCAATTTGAACGTCCTTTGACCTGATGAATCAAACCAATCAGAATGCTGTGTTGTACTGACAGAATATGTCGCAATGCAGAAGTGAATTATCCATGTTAAAGTACAATCTGTTGGAAATGATTTGGGTGACAAAACGATATGATTTGTTTTTAAAAAACTGAAAAGAGTACTTAGACAAACATAAGCCCTAAAATAGAAATGTGCCAAAAGTGTGGGGGGGGGGGTGGATGCTTACTTTAGCATGGATGCTGTGTCCAATGAGTGCAGTATATACCAAGTGACTTGCCGTTTTAATAAGAAATCGAAAATGTATAGTTGGTGAATCTGTACCTTGTCTTTGTACTAACTTTGACCAAAATTGGTCCAGCCATCCCTGGGAAATGACATCAGATGTGTAGATGCTCAGGTGGACAGACACACAAACGAATGAAACCCAAAACATAAGTGCCCCATTATGCCTCTTGCCTTAGTACCAAATTTTAACAAAATTTGTCAAATGACAGAGAAGTTATCTATTACCAGGTATGTACGACCTAGAAATAGTGTTGTATGCGAGTACCAAGTTGCGAGTCGCAAGTAGCAAAATATGCCATATGCTAGTGGTATAAACGGCATATGCGAGTGGTAAAATGTATCGTTTGCTAGTAGCAAAAAAGCCCTATGCAAGGGGTAATACAAAGGCTTGTAACACTTGCTTATAATATAACAACGTACGTTCAATTGTGTTTCATCACAGTAAAATCAAATATTTAGCATGGTTATGAAATGATGTGTACATGGTTGGTTAAGATTGGCATGATGCTGTATCAAAAAGTACGTT